TGGTAACGTACAAAGATAAACAGACATCATGCACACTATATAATGTTACGGAAATTCGTGTTTCTGGGTTGTGTATAATAGTTCAAAATATGTTTCAACATTGCTTTATTATATCTCCTGCTCAATATTATAATATGAATCCATTGTATTCTAAAAGAAGATTTCAATTTTAACCGCTAGCATGATTAGAAATAGTTCTGCAATGCTGAAGGGATACATTTGGCCCAGTCCTTTCTTAAACTTTGATAGATTTATTAGCATTGTGAAGATGAGATTTTTCATGATAGCATGAGCACACTACTCGTGGTAGATAGTTGTATGTGGATTGATTGTTAGTATGTATGTGTTTATGTGTCTGTGTGTATGTGTATGTGTATATGTGTGTATGTGTGTGTGTGTGTGTGTATGCGTGTGTCTGTGTGCGTGTGTGTGTGTGTGTGTCTGTGTGTGTGTGTGTGTGTCTGTGTGTGTGCGTGTGTGGGTGTGTGTGACTGTGTTTGTCACAGGTTGGGAATCCTCATTTTCAGCTGTGTCTTTTCCTTCATTATAAAATTTTCGCTGCCAACGGATATAGAGCTGAGCCTATTTTGCTCAGATGTTTTGGGTCAGCAACCTTTAAGTCCTGCTAGAAAAGAGGCTTACTGAGTTCATTAGACCTTCCCTTGGTCGGTAACCTCAGGCTCTAACAGCCTTACACAAAGAGCCAGTTAAATGTCGACTGCTTTGGGACTAGAGCTGTGCCCATTCGACTTTACTATTCAGTATTCACGACTTTCCTCTATTCACGACTATTCGAAGCTTTTGTAGAACCATTTGTATGACATTTAGACTTTTACGGATTTTCGTATAACTTGTTTAAATTAGAGAATCTAATTTAAAAAATCTAAATCTACTGACGTTAATACATAAATGCTTTGTATTCAGTGATTACGAGACAGAATGATAAAATAAGCCAACAAGACTTTAAAAAACACACCCCGCGGGAGTGCTCACTACGTTTAACAATTAATACTAAACAGTCAAATCCTAAATACTTCAAAAGCATATTGCCCTCGAAGCACAGCAGGTGGTTTTGCCAGAATTAATAGCAGGCTATCGTAATAAACTCCCACTTTCGCTGTATGAAATTTGAAGTGTAATGGATGATGATGTGAGGCCATCTTGCCCCACTTCGGGTTTTCCATCGCATGTACAGTAAATAACGCTATAATTTGTGAATTAAAAATAGCGAATGTTTCTATTGGACTTATAACACCCCCGCCCCCCCAAAAAAAACAACAACCCCAAAAAGCATTTACAAAACACAAAGACATTCACAAAAGGTATTCGAAAAAAACGCAAAATAACCTCACTTTTCGAAGCATCGATAGAGTTTCGTTTCCGCAAAATACCAACACACTTTTTGAAGACTCTATGGTTAATTTCCCCGTGAAAAGGTCATGATATGAGCCGCAGAAAGCTACTATTACAGGATTGGCCCTATGGTACTAGACGTTCTAATCCTATCTGAGCTGTGCAATCTCTTCTAAAACATTAAGGTCATGTCGACTTAAAAACATAGACGTCTTTTAGAATATCTTGGAATATTAAAACATTGTCATATTAGCCGAACAGTTTAGGAAAAATATTCTTCACGGCTAGCAAGTTGAGCAATGTGAGGTTGAGCTTCGCACTCACGCGCGCACACACACACAGACACACAGTCACGCACACACACACACATACGCACACACACAGACATACACAGTCACACACACACACAGTCACATACATATACACACACACACACACGGTCACACACACACACACACACACACACACACACACACAC